TATCTCTACCAAAAAAACCCAACAAATATAAATACAGTTTAAGACTCACTTTTTCTTTTTCCTCCAACAATACAAGACTTCTGGAGGTCTATACAGTGCATCTCCATACAGTTCTCTAAGAGTCCATTTTGTCCACACAAACAGATTTTATAACAGCCAACTTCCCCTGCAGATGATGGCACCTGGATTAGCGTCCCTTGACGGACAATGAAATCAGATGCTTCTCCCAATTTGCAGCCTGTACAAGAAATTAGTTGAGATGGTATTGTTCTGACATTGATTTATGATATTAGATATATGCTTCACAAAAGTCTTACAGATAATGTAACAATGATTACAAAGTAGAACTTTCACCAAATTAAGGAATTGCTTGGATATATTGGTCAAAATCATCCTCTCAAATGAAAACTCCATTTTATAGTTCAGTATAAAAATGCTGTAAGATATAAGACACATGTATGTGTGTGATATACATGTGTGTATATCTATAATTTCTTTGGGCTAATCGAACATATTTAAAAAATCACAGGCTTAATGCCTGCAGCTCAAGTGACTAAGGCACCAGCCACATACACCAGAGCTGGCCGGTTCCTATCCAGCCTTGGCCTGCCAAACAACAATGACAGCTACAACCAAAAAATAGATGGGCATTGTGGCAGGTGCCTGAAGTCCCAGCTACTTGGAAGGCTAAGGCAAGAGAATTGCTTAAGCCCAGGAATTGGAGGTTGCTGTGAGCTGAGATGCTATAGCACTCTATTCAGGGCGACAGCTTGAGGTGCTGTCTCAAAAAAAAAAAATCACATTTTTAAAGCGGAATATGGAAACTGACAGTACTTTTAGAATAATCTTTGCCAGAAAAACTTAGTAATAGAATACAAACATACGATAATTCCAATTCAAAGAAAAAATGAATATTCAGGTGAACCCCTTTTATATCTTACATATTTCTATATTATAAGGTGGGCTTTCTGAGTTTAACAAAACAAGAGAATTCTGAATTGAATTCCATATTTAAATAACATGGAATACAGTTGTTAACATTTTAAGTAACTATCTTATTTTCTTGCCACAGAAAATATTGACCAAATTATGATGTAAAGAAAATACTATGTTGAAACTTAAAACAGCTCAACAGTTCTTTCTTTTTTTTTAAGGCTAGTCAAGTGAAGCAGTGAGCCCAACAGTTCTAGACTTCCCAAGACTTATGACTCTCTAGCTGATATAATGTACATATTGCAGATGACCCTTGGAGACATCATGCTTATTTAATCTTTTGCTCCATTTAAAAGATATTTTAAAATGTTGATTCTAACATGATAAATATTTTCAGTTGGGAAATAGATAAAAAGAAGCAAAATGTTGCCACAATTATTTTCTTTCTTTTTTTTTTG